AACGCTGGAGCAGTTCGAGGCCTACTCGACCGACCGCCTCCAGCTGCTCAAGACAATCGCAATGCAGCGGCTGCGACGACGCCAAGCTTGAGAAGGCGCTTCTTGCCGATGCGTACGAGCGAGGACCGCGCGAAGGACGAGGTTTCCGGCGCCTCGAGATGGCCTCACGCGACGAGAAGATGCGCTTTATGAAGCGCCATGGCCAAGTACCAGCAGGTGGTTGTGGGGAGTGAGCTCAGGTATGCATCTCGTGGTAGAAGCCACGCGCAAAGCGATAGCTCGCACGCAGCCTTCTGTACTCGGACCACCCGACAGAGGCGTGCAAGTCGTTGGGTGCGTCGAAGTCATACTAGCGTACTAAACGTCGTGTCTTCACTTGTATTACTGTCGCTAGAGTGAAAGCACCGCTTGTATTGTGTGCGGTGGGCCTTGCGTGCGAGGTCGGTGACCTCAACCTGGCGCCATGTCTCCTCGCGCTGGCGTGGTCCTTCTCGGCTGGCATGGAACGTGGTCACGATTGAGGTAAAGGCCGCGCGCAGTGGGGTAGCACTCGACTGCCGCGAGCTTGATGTCAAGCGCCGTCGTCGGGTTGGGCTCGTCTGTAGCGTGTTGCGTCGAGCGTGTCGATGGCGTCGCAAGCCGCGCAGACAGCGGCAGTCGGCGCACGCAGCGGTGGTCGCACAGGTCAGCAGGCGCCTCGTCCCGGCAGGCGCGGGACGTGCGTGCGTCGCATTACGAAATACAAGCGCTTAGAACCGATTCGGCTGTTTGGAGAGAAACGACCCTCGTGGGTCACCGTTCTATTGTGGTCATTCCCTCAATCCACTCAGAACACTGTGTAGTAGAAAGAGTATCGCAAAAGTAGCTTCAACTTGCAGAACGTTGGCGAAGGACCATTCGATGGCTCCTTGGTGACCCTTAACGATCTTTTACGTGGCAAGCGCCGGTCATTTGCGTCGCGGGAAGATTATGAGGGGTGAGTACGCGAGGTGTCCTGGGCCCCGCGATTGGATTCAAAATGCTGCAAAACGATCCTTGAAGACACCTTCGATTGCTCCAACTCCCACATATTCATAGCATATCATGTGGGATGCGAGAAGCTTCGATGGCGAGTGCGCAGCTGGACTACACTCTGCGCAATATGCCGAGCGGCGGCCCGTTCTTTCTCAGCCAAGACAGCTCGCAATCGCACCTTTGACTGCCAACATGCACGTTTGGCTGGAGGCACGCAACTTGAAGCTTTCAGTGCGGGTAGGGTTGCGAAGCAGAGAACGCTCACTCGCCGTGACTTTGGAAACGATTGCACCTCGACTGCTCTCGTGCTCCCGTCCTTCCCGTTCAACTCCTCAATCGCACATGCAACAACGTGCATTCGCCGCCCTAGCGTCTGCGGATCCATTCAGCAGTGGTGACCACGAGTTGCCTTTCAACGTCTTGGCGCAGCGTCATCCAGCTGCCCAGTTTCGCTGGTTTGGCTCCGACGTAGAGAGTGGCGACTTCTCTGCCCGCGCGACCGACACGCGTCTTCTTCCGATCGGCCATAACGGTATCTGTTGCTCATGCGAACCGATACGGTGGGCTCAGGACGTCGTAGGCGCACTCGAGCTCGGCATCTTTGCAGTCGGTACGCCCGCGACGCCGCATCGGTCGTTCTTGGGCGCCCGTGTCATTGGTGAGAACCACATCGCAGGTAGACTCGAGTTGTACTCGGAGTAGGACGATCACCATGTCACCATGTTGAGTTGCGATGCGTGGACAGTCACCTGGTTCAGGGCGCCGACGTCATCCTCGCCTTGACGCGCGTCAGCATCGCGGCAGCTGGCAGTACCATAGCTACCGCTCGACACGCAGACGTCGGTCATGCGCGGCGAAGAGTGCGAGCAACTTTAGCAACCCGGGTCTTTTCATCGTCTACGCCAGCGCTACCACCGTCATTTCTCGTATCCGATCTAATGGGCTGCGTCAATTACGTCGTTCAAGGACGATTTGGGCAACGACATCGACTTGTTTACTGCTGTGCTTGTCGCATGTCGCGGCAACGGCTGCGTCGCGTGGCAAAAGGGCGCGCTCGTCCCAAGATGTGATCAGATCGCTGAGGAAGTTGTGCGCTCCATCGAGAAGAAGCGACAGCAGGCGTAGCCTGCAAAGGAAGGCTGACTCGTCGTCGTCAACTCGACCATCGTGGGGGGCAATCCGTGATGCGATATCCTAGAATCCTTGTCACCATTGACGTTAGAGCACGGTTCGCGTTGTCGTCGGTGCTGCCCCTCGCGGGCATGGACGCTCCGCGGACCACCAGCATGGGGACGACGACCCAGGACGCCAGTCATCGCCCGCGAGGGGTCGGTCCATCGTCCATGGAGCGCGCGGGCAGCATGCAG